CCACCTCTACCCCCACTACTACAGCCACCTCTACCACCACACCAACACAGCCACCTCTACCCCCACCACAGTCACCTCCATCACCACAGCCACCTCTACCCCCACTACTACAACCACCACTACTACAGCCACCTCTTCTACCACCACCACAGTAGGTATAAACAGCATCACAAGCAGCAGTAGTGTTGCCACGTCTGGTAAGGTAAGGTCGGAACACCGTGAGGAGGTAGTGGTAATAACAGAGGGCCAAGTATGGGGCACCCAGACGCCTCCTTATCGCCAACCTCGGTAGAAAAATAATCCAGCGGCCACACTCACACGCCGGGCGTTAAGTAGGCAGTTTATTTGTTTATGTGGGGGCGGGGTACTTATTCACTCATATCTATTGCTCTGGCAACCATCTTTTCATGGTCATCATATGGAAATCTTTCATAACGTGTAAATTACGGCACTGCCACCGTATACTATCCACTCGATGGCTCTAACTGTTGTTCTCGTCAAGATATTTTCCTTTGTATTGTGTAACATTTGAACACACTCAATTTTAAAAGATCACAGATGGAGGTGAGACGTACCGCCTCCTTCAACAGTGTTATCAGTCCGGATGTTGTACTTCGTGTTCGGTTATGTTATGATTGGGTGGCTGACGTGCAGGTGTTTCTTGGTACCTTAGGTGACGTCATGCACTGCACCTTTTAGTTAGTTTCACGTCTCGGGTGTGGTCTCCGCCTTCTCCAGCTACATACACCTTTAGCAAGTAAATAACATTCTTATAATAGTTTCTAAATCATCATTGTTTACAAAGTCATAAACAACAACAAACACTGCTTAGGGCCGACGGACACCGAGATAATTTAGTACAAGTGACTCTTAGGATACTCTTTCAGGGTGTTCAGAGGGTTGGCGACCACGGCCCACCCCTCACTTTGATTTCGTACTATCTGTGATCGAGTCATGTAGTAATAACGTAACTTAGTATCAATATGTTGCCATTCACCATTAAAGTTTATTAATTTATATAAAACAAACTAACGACTTTGACCAACAGTAAGGTTCATAAACAGGTAATTCCTGAAAGTGGAAATCCTTTGTTATTTTTTTATATCCAGTAAATCCTTTTATCAGATAAGATGGAAGTCATGTCGGGATCGGCTTAGGCCCGCCTAGTGTGTGTCACCAAGTGTTGCGGGTAATTGTTTTATCTTGTAGAGTTATACACAATACTAATGGCAGAGTAACACATAACAATTAAGGTCTGTCTGGTTGTTTACCTTGTTACAGACTTAAACACCTACAGTACACAGTTCCATCATCAGGGTATATTAAGTCCAGTTTTATGTTAGTGACCACTGGGATATAATCATTGCTAAGTCCCATACCCTCACTACACACTACCAAGACTCTCACCTCATGTTTCAACCCTCCTCCCCCCCTCCATATCCTCACCTACCATCTGTTTACTATCCTTCTTCCCTGTGTCTCCCGTCTCATTCCATATTTTTTTCCTATCCCTTTCCTCCTCTGCCCCCTCGCCTGGCCTCAACATCCGGCAGAGTCATTCACGGGTTATCTGGTTGTTGTGGTGCTCCAGGAAGGTGGCTCACTGAATCACTAAATTCTATCTTGCGTATAACCCACACCTTCAAGGACCAGCCAGCGACCACCTCCCTCACCACTTCATTAACCCCAAAAATGAACGCTCAATGCCCCAACACCCTACAGCTAATATTCGCGCCATAAGTGTAGCTACAGGCAGAAAGTAGATGGACGTTCACCTGACGTAGTTTCTATAATTATGTTACCTTAAAGGCGAGGGAAACGCCAGGCGCTGTTAATTGCTTGTCCGGACATTGTTTTTACCGTGCGGGCCTAAAGGTACTGTCATCAACTTTGCCATCATTACAGTCTTGTAGGTCGTAACATTGTAGTTAATCTTCAAGTAATACAAATATATACATAAGGGGCACGCCAAGAGCTCAAGGAATATCGGCAGGTTTCCCAGGTGAGGTGAATGGCGGCGGCCACCCGGGGACTGCCACCCACCCACTCGGTCGGTGCGGCGGGTCAGGGGGCACCGGCGGAAATACTGGAAGAGTTGCACCATGGATATCAACCCCCCCAGGAGTCAGGGTGGGTGACTTGCTCCCATCTGACACTGGTGCTCCACGCTGATACCCCCCCTCCCCCTCCATACTTCACTACTTATCCCCCTCCCTACCTGCCCAAGCCTTATACGGCCGCCTAGTGTTCACCCGTGGCACCTCTGTTTTATCATACACTGCAACAGTCTACTCCCTCCAGCACAAGTTAACTGTCGTTTACCTTGCCTTGAGAAAGCATGGGCGTGTTCCCTAATGTTTAACTGGGTGTGGGCGGGGAGGTGCGGGTCCTGGCGCCGTATAGCCGCTGCTCCAGATCCCTTCTTCCAGCTCTTCCACACTACGCCCCACATGACGCTCTCCTCCGTCACCGGCTGTGAACTCAACAATAAGAGCATAAGAAAATAAGGAGTCTGCAATAGGCCGGTTGGCCTGTGCATGGCAGCTCCTGTCGAGTTACGACCACTCTCTATCATCCATGAATCTATCTAGCCTCCTTTTAAAACTTTCCAGCGTTCCAGCACTTACTGCAAAGTTACTAAGCTTGTTCCACTCGTCCACCACCCTATTTGTGAACCAGTTCCTTCCTATCTCCCTCCCAAACCTAAACTTATCCAACTTAAATCCGTTGCTACGAGTCCTATCCTGCTCCGATATTATAAGAACTTTATCTGTATCGCCTTTATTGATTCCTTTCACCCACTTAAATATTTCTATCATATATCCCCGCACTCTTCGTCTTTCTAGGGAATGCAAGTTTAGTTTCTTTAACCTATCTTGGTATGGAAGGTTTCTAAGTCCCGGAATCATTTTCGTCATTCTTCGCTGCACCGACTCCAGTGAATTTATATCCATTCTATAATAAGGGCACCAGAACTGAACCGCATAATCGAGGGGCGGCCTGACTAGCGCAAGATATAGTTGCAATAAGACCTCTGCACTCTTATTACTTACACTTCTAGATATAAAACCCAATACTCTGTTTGCCTTATTTCGAACATTAACGCAATGTTTTCTAGGCCGTAGGTCCGGGCTTACAAGTACCCCTAGGTCTCTTTCACAAGTCGACCTTTCTAGGTTGATGTTGTTAAGGCTGTATACATTGACAGTATTTGTTCTTCCAATGTTAAGTACGCTGCACTTGCTGGTGTTGAATTTCATTTTCATTGCACATAACAATGATGTGTTATGTACCATGATAAGTGACTCCATTACTTCAGTACTCAAGTCCGTCACGCGTTGTGACAGCTTCAGTAACTTGCTTATAATAATGTCGACAGATTTCCACAACTTACAATTTGATAATGATTGTTATAACGGAGTACTGTATTAAGTATACGAGTTGGTAGACGTACTCGGGCACCAAGCACACGCCTCACACCCCCGGCCATTACAAAAAAAACTTGCCATTCAGCGGCACCGTTAGTGCGTTTCCTGCCTCAATTATTTCCACCCCGGGTCGCGACTGCCACCTGGGAGTAGAGTGGTAAATGTGTGGGTGAATCCGAATGAGCTTTAGCTTTAGAGCCTCTCGGGAGTGACACACTCGCTTGTATTATTAAACAACATCTTCCCTTGAAGAGGGTCGTCGTGTTTCAACCCGAGTTTTAAACTAAATGAGTCCTGAGGGACACCGCAGTACAGTACTTAACGGGGTGGTGTGGCGGTAAGATTAACTAATTCCAATATTATAAAGGAATGTTATTGGCATTAGTTAATTTTACCGCCACACCACCCCGTTAAGTACTGTACTGTACTGCGGTGTCCCTCAGGACTCAATTAGTTTAAAACTCGGGTTGAAACACAACATCCCTCTTCAAGGGAAGATGTTGTTTAATAATACGGGCATCAGACTCTTCATTGTTACAATGTGACTGGAAGTACTTTTTCACCCTACAATATTTCTCTGGTATACGCGAGTTACGATCAATCGGGCTCACTGTTTCCAGTCCACCAGTGTTAATCGAATATTTTATCAAATCTGGCTCAGAAACAATGTACGTGAAGATGAGCACAGTTCCCGGGCGTCACTATTACACTCGACAGCTCACATCACTGTAAATTTCCGGCACCTTCGTTTTCAGGGTTGATCTACACAAGCTTGGTTTGTATTCCCTATAGCTAAACGTCTCTAGCACCAGTCTTGTTGTTTGTGATAAGAGTAGTAAGTCGGGGGCATGACGCGTGGTACACCTGTGAGGAGGGGGGCAGGACGCGTGGCAGGTTTCCGGGAAGTCACTCATTGGGTCGTCTGCCCTCAGGGGTAAGGACCCGAGGGCCCATATCCCACCTCTCTGGACCAGTATGGTACAGACGTGAACCTTAATGTATTGTGCTAAGCTAGACTCTCACCTTCTGCTAAACCCCGGCAAGTACACCCAGGTCAGTGTTGCCACATATGACCTGACCACACCTTCCTACATCTCCAGGATATCGTAATGGTTCACCCCACCATGCTGGATCACCTCATATCAGCCCACCAATTTGTAAGTCACACCTGTATGTAAACGTGAACACAAATATTGTATTGTAGTAAAACAAGTGTAGATGTCTACTTTACGTTATTTTTGGTTGTACTCACAAGATGCACGTAGGAGTTGACATTAACTTGGAAAAACTTCCCACCTTGTAATGTGGATTCGACTTACAAAAAGTACCTTACCCCGTTGTATCACTCTACCCCACCTGGAATTTACCTCACCTTATTAGACCTAACCTCACCTTGTTGGACCTGACAAAACCTTTGAGGCAGGGATAACGCATTTATTTGGGTTCTGCCAACCTCCCTTACAATAAAAGTCGATTTTGTTGGGAGCAGGTTGACAAGCCATAATGCTGGAGTCGTCGTTGTTATTGCCTTCACTTTACTCGGTGAAATATCAGTCCAGCAAACTAGTTGTGTATTAATACAAACAGTTTAAGAGTGTGCGTCGCGTAGTGTTGTGGGCGGGCGTTGTGGTCAGTAGGGAGAACCTTGCGGGACACCAGCCCAACCAGTTGCAGTCAACTCCCAACTTCTTCATCTCCTACACTTCACTTCTACTCTCTTGTACAACACAGCATTGATTTAGTTCACAGGGAGGAACAATGGTACACCAGCCGTTGCTCTGTGTGACCAATTACTGAACTAGCACCTGCTAGGCGTGGGCAGGAAAACGGAAATAGCGGGGTGGTGTGGGCAGGTGGGTCCAGCCATCATCACCAGGTCGCCCCGATGCACACACTCGCCCACTCACTCACCTACACTCTCTGGCTGTCCAGTTAGTCGTGTCCCTCAGTGCTGGCAGGTGGAGGTGTGCTCCTTCTCCGCGGACTCTTCGCTTCCCTACACTTGTTTTGTAAATGACCATACAAGCTCGTTTACGTTTTAGCTCGTTGTTTACACAATGTTACTGAGTGATAGTGCAGAGACCCTCGTACCCATAATAGTGTGCACCTTGCAGGCTGTACTCACAAAGAGACCTGTTGCGGGAACTGTACAGCAAACATCATTGTGTGTTATTATAATGTTTGAGCTGAACGGAAACATACTTCGTAATATTTAGAACATCACCAGTTATTGTTGGTACGGACGTGGGTCAGTGTTGACGATTACTGAGCATCGCGCACCTACAGGGGTGTAGTGTATCCCGTCACGGCGGCTAGGAGAACAGCAGCCTGGATCATTACCCACATGTGTCAGGTCGTGTCGCTGCTCAGTGCTTTATTTGTGCATTAAAATAGAAAAACTTCAATAGTGTGGTTGTCGTGACGTGAAGGATTCTGTGGCAAAAGTCGTGCCTGTGACAATCTCTAGAGGTGATACATTTATATGAAATTTGGTGAACGATTTGGATCAATTGCGGTATAAATTCAGTAAAAATACAGTCACAGTGAAAACTAATGAAACTATATATTATAGAGTGAAAAGTGAATGGTGGTGGATAGCCAGAGGTGTGAGGCCGGTTATGGTGGCGAGTGTTAACCTGAAGGAGCTCCGGGCTACCTCCAGTACCAGCGCCTCGTGACTCACACAGCGAGGAGTTAATCAGTAAGGCTGTGTTGACCCAGCACAGCAAGGCCAGGACTGTGACCATCTCTGTAATTAGTGAGAACAAATGCACGACAACAACATCCTTAAATATACTGTGATCACGAGTGCTGCTACAGCTACCAAGTGAATGTAAACTGAAGACCTTGATTTTTTTAAAGCTGCTGCTGCGGCGGTGGTGGTGGTAACACTCATCGCCCACCACGCTGCTGTTGTCTCACTACTGCTTACCTGTCTCGCTCACACCTTGTGATCCACTCCACCGAACCTTAAAACAACATTTTACAATAAAATAATTAAGATAACAGTGTTGGAATTATTGCTGATGCAACAATCTCAGGCGGAGAAAGGGAGAATCTTGCAAGATACAGAAAAACTGCAAGTGAAAGGTACAAAGCCAGGAGGGAGTGGGGCGGGGAGGCGTGCGGCGGGGAGGCGTGCGGCGTGTGCCCCCCGTTGTGGTAGTGATGTGCAGGAGGGAGGGAAGGGGTTGTGGGGCGCCAAATTGAAAAGTGTTAAGTGATTGAGATATGCTTAACTACGGTATTTTTTAACAATTTTTTTTTACAGAACATATCAATACAAGCACAGTTCTTTGTTATGAATATATGCTAATATTGAACAAAATACAAGTCCTCAAAAAACAAAAACATAATGATCTATCAAGTGTACATAAACGGTAAATGTAACGAGGGCGAGGTAAAGTGATCCTTGGTGATGAGACAGTTTGGTCATGGCCACGGTCAAGGAACCATGAAAGTGTACGTACCAGCGATCACCCCCAGCAGCCACCAGGTGTTCCTCCCAACAACACCTTACTACCTCAGGATATGTAAGCCCAACCACACTCGACCGGCCGATATGAACATCCAGACATTTTCCTTACGACAAGCGCTGAAGGTAAGACTGTACCCCGCCACCCCTGCTACCCCCACATACTACACCTCTGCTACCACCACATACTACACCTCTGCTACCACCACATACTGCACCTCTGCTACCACCACCACCACATACTACACCTTCAATATCAAGTAAGATAAAAGAAACTAAACTTGCATTCCCTAGAACAGTGGTTCTCAACCTTGTTTGCCCCATGCACCCCTTTCACCATATGTCAGAATGTCATTCCCTCCTCCTTTCCAAGATTGTCTGCCTCAAAAAGTGCATTCCAAATAATATCCATATAATACTGAAAATCCTTTATTTTTTCCATATTAGTATCAGTCCCCCCTGAAAACCTGAGGGGGGAAATTCCCCCCTGGTTGAGAACCCCTGCCCTAGAAAGACGAAGAGTGCGGGGATATATGATAGAAGTATTTAAGTGGGTAAAAGGAATCAATAAAGGAGATATAAATAAAGTTCTTATCATATCCGAGCAGGATAGGACTCGTAGCAACGGATTTAAGTTGGATAAGTTTAGGTTTAGGAGGGAGATAGGAAAGAACTGGTTCACAAATAGAGTGGTGGACGAATGGAACAAGCTTAGCAACTTTGTAGTAAGTGCTGGAACACCGCTGGAAAGTTTTAAAAGGAGGCTAGATAGATTCATGAATGATAGAGAGTGGTAGTACTCTCGACAGGAGCTGCCATGCACAGGCCAACCGGCCTATTGCAGACTCCTTATGTTCTTATGTACACCCCTGCTACCCCCACATACTACACCTCTGCTCCCACCACATACTACAACCCTGCTACCCCCCACATTCTACACTCCTATCACCACATACTACACTCCTGCTACCCCCACATACTACACCTCTGCAACCCCACATACTACACCTCTGCTACTCCCACATACTACATCTTTGGTTTTTCCTACTACACCCCAGCTCTGTTCCCACATAATACACCCCAGCTCTGTTCCCACATAATACACCCCTCCTACTCCCATATACTACACCTCTGTAACCCCACATAGTACACCTCTGATACACGACATACTACACCCCTGCTATTCCCACACACTACACCTCTGCTAGCCCCTATATTACACTCCTGCTACCCTACATACTACACTCCTGCTACCCCACATACTACACTCCTGTTACCCCACATAGTACACCTCTGATACACCACATAGTACACCTCTGATACACCACATAGTACACCTCTGATACACCACATAGTACACCTCTGATACACCACATAGTACACCTCTGATACACCACATAGTACACCTCTGATACACCACATAGTACACCTCTGATACACCACATAGTACACCTCTGATACACCACATAGTACACCACATAGTACAGCTCTGATACACCACATACTACACCCTTGGTACCCCCACACTACACCCTTGGTACCCCCACACTACACCTCTGCTACTCCCACATACTACCCCCACCTACTTCATACCTGCAACCCCACGTACTACACCCGATACACTTTTGTTTTTACGTTATATCATGTTACCAACCCTGACCAGCAGGTCCTCCGTGGCTGGCTGGGAGGGACGCCTCTGCCCTCTGGAGTATTTCATCCCTTTTCTATTAATCTTGTTATCGTTAACCTCAGGTAATACAAGATGAAACTATTGTGTTCCCTGGCAGTGCCGGTTAATTTCCTGATTGATGTGCGATACACCGCCAGTCTCGCCCTATGTTTGGGGCTAATCTAGGCCTACTAGCCCAGCCGAGCCGGAGGTCCCCCCCTCTCTCTCTCTCTCTCTCTCTCTCTCTCTCTCTCCAAATTACTGGTGTTTGGTAGAGGGAGAGGGTCGGTCATTCTATTTGACTGGATGCGTTTTATTCTACACCATGACCATATAGGAGGATTTTAGTTATTGTACAAATAAACTGTTCATTATATACAAACAAATAAAAAATCAGTTGATAAAGGCCATGTTTGAAGTGTTGATGGACTAGATTAAATAACTCGACGATTACTCATAACATAACAGGTTCAGTTGTGTGTTAGGTCAGATGCTCTCGTACATAACAACAGTGTCATGCCCACGCGTTCTTTAACTGGAGACATATATTTCTCCCATCCAGAGGATTACTTGCAGCAGATAAAATAATTAGGTATCTTAATACAGCCCATGTCTCCACCCTGTATCATTACCTATATAGCCATAAGTGTGTTTATAATAATAATAACAAATAACCCAATCACCTGAAGAATCTCTATCCCAGCTTATTTCACCAAAAGATAACACTATTTGAGAGGTTGAGGTTAGTTACTGTGGAATAAGCTGGGGTGGAGTCTTCAAGTAATAAAAAAAGTATGTTGTTACTTTGCACTTAAAACAAAATGATCATAACTAGTGAAAATCTCTGAACTACTGTAGACACTGATATCTAGTAAAGTTGCACATGTGCACAGCGGCTCACACATACAGCCTGGCTCTTTTCTGGTGGACAGTACATAAGCAGCCTCATATAATCCTGTCACAGCCCTCACGAGTGTCTTAGAATGAGAGTAGAGGCTGGCCACCCTTCACCACCTCTTACTGTCACTATGACAGGCAATATCATATCGAACACGTCATTCACACAGCGATATTTACCTTGATCTCCATCTTGTGACTCAAGGCACGTTGTTACTTTTCCTCTATTATGACCAATTTCCCGGTACCTGTGTGTCATCCAGCCCGGCTAATGGTGTGTGGGTGGGTGGGTTTATGTGCGTGTGTGCACTGTGCAAGACAACTAGACAATGTCGCCTGTCACTCAGCAGCTGGTGTACACCCAAAGCCACAACTTAATGAGAGAAAGTCCGCTACAACAAATACGCGTGCAAGTGTGAGGCAGAGGAGTAACGTGGCTGTCACCGCCACCAACATTCTAGTTCTCTAGAGGTATACTGGTCGGGGTCCAGACAAAACCCCCTCAAGTAAAGTGCAAAGTAGGGGGGGGGGAACTATTTAGAGTAAAAAAAATAGGATAAAAGCCCCTATTTTTGTATCTACTAAAGCCATATAGACTTCATTCAAATAATACACTATACTGTACATACGAGAGCACTTTGGGTGGAGTGTGCGTGCAAGATTTTCTTGTAATCACACGCTGGCACCAACTCGGCTGAGGCCAACTCCAATACACTATTTCAAAACCATCTTGTGAAATCTTACCAAACTTATCCGCTACTGTATCTTGCTCTTGTGAGACCACACCTGGATTACGCAGTTCAGTTCTGGTCACCGTATTACAGAATGGATATAGAATCCTTGGAAAGAATTCAAAGGAGAATGACAAGACTAATCCCGGTCATTAGGAACCTTGTGTATAGAGACAGGTTAAAGCATCTTAATTTGCACTCCCTCGAGAGATGTAGAGCAAGGGGCGACCTGATAGAGGTGTATAAGTGGAAGGCAGGGCTAAACAAAGGGGACATTACAAAGGTACTTAAACTATCCAACCAGGAGCGAACTCGTAACAATGGTTTTAAATTAGACAAATTTAGATATAGGCGTGAAATAGGTAAACACTGGTTTGGAAACAGAGTAGTGGATGAATGGAACAAGTTACCAAATATCATCATTAACTCGAATACACTGAATAGCTTCAAACATAGGTTGGATGCTTATATGAGCAATAGGGGTTGGGTGTAAACAGTACTGCCCAGTATGGGCCAATAGGCCCGCTGCAGTTTCCTCCATTCTTATGTTCTTAAAAACGTCAATGGTTATACTCCTTAAAAATATATTACATTAGGAAACACAACTCATATTACTAGGGTATACTAAAGTAATCCTATCACTTGTGTTGGGTTTCGATATATTGTACATAATTCTTGCTTGTCAGCCATGCTGTAATACATAATTTTGAATTAATATTTACTTCAAATGTACATTCATTACTACTGACCGAGGTACTGCTGCTGCTGCATGTTTCAAGCGTCAGGTTGTGTGCGGTAGGGAGAAACCCTGGACAACCAAGGCCATGTATGAGGGGGGTGAGGGGCGAGGCGAGGGCAGGGGGTGGGTCAGACGCAGGAACCCTCGTCAACACAATAAACCGCGTCACTAGACTGGGCTACACTCAACACCTCACGACGCTACACACGCAAAATGGGTAAAATAGAGCTATATTGGATTACCATATTAAATGTTACCTTTATGAAGATTGCGTTTGGTCCCACGTAAAGATCCGTTCCGAAACTTCAGGAATTATTGTGGACTGAAGTTGGGGGACTGTTCTTATGTTTATCTTTCCTTGGTGAAAATATGCCCCAGTATATCTCTATTTCTCACTCCCTCCCTGAACTGTATATAGTGCTGACCAGGTTTAAGCCAATCTGTCTTTCACTCCATTTTCTTTGTACTGTACTTTCAGTTGCAAGAACATTGTGTGTTAAGTGAGAGCTTCACTAGTTGCTGCCACACAGGTGGAGGAGAAGTGTAGTTCCCTGTGTTTTTATTTAATTATTGGTGTGTATCAGGTGGACTAAGTGAGTCTGTTCTTCCGCAGGAACTGTTCTCTCAGCTGCAGTACAGCCATGAGTCTGCGTTGCCGCCAGACGCGCTGCGCCGCGCACTCGCCCAGACCTTCTACAACCAACAACGGTTCCAGCTGGGCTTCATGGACGATGCCGCTGAATGCTTTGAAAATATCTTACTACGAATCCATTTCCACGTGGCGAGTGGTGAGGCGGAGGACATGTGCAGCGCTCGCCATTGTATCCCCCATCAGAGGTTCGCCATGACACTGGTGGAACAAAGTGTGTGTGGGGACTGTGGAGCCACCTCAGAGCCCCTCCCCTTCACCCAGATGGTACACTATGTGTCGGCCTCTGCCCTCACTGCCCAGGCCCGGCAGATGAATGACCCCGGTGGTGGCCCTCAGACACAGCAGCAGCCACTAGATATGTTTGGCCAGCTCCTCAAGAAGGCAGGCGGGATGGGTGACATACGTGACTGTCCTGTAAGTATTCCTTTACCACTGTACTTATTGGTTATAAAACTATTGAATTATATGAAGTAAATAAGGATAATACACTAATAGCAGTAAATGACAATTATATCGATACCTGTTTACGAAAAACAAAATATTCAGACACTACTGTTTATGTTCATTCATTTCCGAGTAATATTTATAAACCCACAGTAATCGTAGTTTCAAAATCTTTAAAATACAGTTTTAAACAACTTTTTAGGGTTTAGTTAGATCAAGCAGTTGTATTATGGTTTTATGTGTGAACAGTTCTGGGTGACAGTTTAATAATTGTTATGACCCTGTACAGAGCGCTTGTGGGGCCAAGATCCAGATCTGCCGCACACTGATGAACCGACCAGAGATTGTGTCCATCGGTGTGGTGTGGGACTCTGAGCGGCCCACGCTGGAACACATCATGGCGGTGTTTGCCACGGTAGGCACCACACTCAGGCTGAGAGACGTCTTCCAGAGTGTAGTGGACGACCGCTGGGCACAACATACCCACCACCAGCTTGTTGGAGTTGTCACTTACTACGGCAAACATTACTCCACATTTTTCTACCACACAAAACTGCGTGTGTGGATCTACTTTGACGATGCTACAGTTCGTGAAATTGGACCACATTGGGAGCAAGTTGTTGACAAATGCAGACGTGGTCACTTCCAGCCACTCTTGTTGTTGTATGCCAACCCTAGCGGGACACCTGTACCTGTGGACAGTGCCCCACGGACAGTGACGCTGGTGCCAGGACACCGCCCACACACCCGCACTTCACAGCCTTCCCTCAAACCCACCAATGGTACTGGGGAGCCGTACTCCCAGACCTCCACGCGCCGTGCAGTCACGCCCAACCCAGAGAAGTGTGGGGATGGATCAGGACCAACTCCCCGCCGAGCCATCACGCCCAGCCCAGAGGTGGCTGCCCAGCGTGACACCCACAGGGACTATCAAAATATCCATGCCCTTGCTGCCCACATATACCAAGATGGTAACAGTGAGGCTCACAATGATGACGTGTTTGAGGCTGGCACTTCCAACTATCGGCGACAGCTGGAGAGCATCAAACAGAGCGGCACTGTCCTCCCCAACAAGCCGACCATCCCTGGCCGGGGACGACTCGATTCAGACGACTCGGTCTACGCTGGTAGACGGAATGATCCACAGCGACAGGAACGACAGCGCTCAGTCAGCTGTAATGGCTACAACCAGCATGGTAACCGTAACAGTAACTCCTCACTGGAACAATTCGAGAAAGATGGCTTAAAAATGCCTGAGGGTAGTAATGTGCCAAGGCGTCGAGACTCTGGTAACTGGAGTGGTGACCGTAACAGCGCATCCTCCTCCTCATCCACATCATTAGAACATCCTTACTTGTTTATAGTGGGGAAGGCAGGTCGACAGCCACCTTCACCCACCACGAAGGCTCCACCTAGCCCCTCCCGCACCGACCACCCAGAGTATGCAAACCTTGGCGTGGGCGTTCCACCACAACATGCCCACGCCCTTAACTCCACGGGACAACCTCCTAACACGGCCCCCAATGGACAATATGACCCTGGCTATGACTCCTACTCACTCTCCTCGAATGACTCCTATCCTATCCAACAGAACCTGAAGCATAACTTACAGGTGAGCATTTATCTGTTTGTAACCATAAACATGTAATGTTGATTCATTAATAATTAAACATGGAAATGATGATAATGATGATAATAATAATAATAATACTGTACTTGAATGGATAAAGAAAGAACAACTGGAAATAGAAAGAACAACTGGAAATTTATTAAAAATAAAACAATGCATGTCTAACTTTGTTTTTCTCAAAATCAGCTTCAGCAGATCCCTGAGTGTGTGCAGGCGAGTGACAGCCCTGGCACCTACACTGGAGGGAGTCAGCAGGATAGTAGCAGTGTCAGCACACTTACGGAGAGTGAGACTGGCGGTAACTGTGAGACCCTCTGCCTGGCAGCAGATTCCCTGCTTGAAGAGGCCCGCGCCCGTGAGGAATCTGGAGATCTTTCGGTTAGTATCACCTCACTGAGACTCCCTTGTGTCCATTCCACTCTGTAATTGTGAAATGTTGTCAAACATTGTGACATGACATCTAGCAGAGAAAGTAAAGCATATACTGTACTAGTAGCAATAGTTTAATAACTTTGTTCTATTGTAAACACAGGGTGCCCTGGATCTGTGCAATGCAGCAGCAGCCAAGACCCGAGCAGCTATGGACGCACCCTACAACAATGCACACTCCCTCACCTTCGCCCGCATGAAACATAATACATGCGTCATGCGTGCCCGCTCCCTTCACCGCCGCATCCTCATCCAGGAGGAGACTGCTGCCTGGGAGGGCCAGTATAAACTTGGTAAGTTGTTTCATAAATCTTGCTTAGCTCGGCTGCTGTTTTTCCAAGAAACAGCTGATATCTTATGGTTAAGTAGTGATTGCACCTAGAATTTTAACTTAACTTTTTATCATTAAAGATTAACATCGTCTTTTTAAGAGCTTGATATTTTATACAAAATCACATTTAGTTTGTTGTAAAAAAAAGGTAGAATACCTGTACTGTAATTAATTCTGCGGTAACAATGAGTTAACTGGTGCTATGTCCCGCAGATGGTCCCCACCACAGTCGACAAGGCTCACGAGACTCCCAGAGGTCACGGACCAGCCGCCAAGGATCAAGAGAAGGGTCAGTCCACCACAGTAGACAGGGATCACGTGATGCTTCCAGTGGGTCACAGGCCAGGTCACAAGACCAACTGGACACAGCCGTTACCCTTGCACAGACAGCTGAGAAACTTCAGAACACTAACATAGAAATTTATGCCACACTGCCCAAGAAAAAAGGGAAAAAGTTATCATCCGAGAAGATCTCCAGGAAAGATGATGTTGAGATACAGCTGGAGAAGTCAAAGGACAAGAAGAATACCGACAAAACGAAGGACAAGTCACACAAGGAGAAGAAGAGTGGTAAGAACCGCGCAGTTGACAGTGACTATGGCAGTGACCATAGTTCAAAGAGCTCTAAGAAAAGCCTTGACAAAGATGATGTTAATGCAATTGTTGAAGTAAAAGAAGAAAAGTCTATTGGTAAGAAGCAGCATAAGATTCGCCGGAAGCTGCTCATGGGCGGCCTCATTCGGCGTAAGAACCGCAGCATGCCAGACCTTCGAGAGGGCCAGGATGGGGAAAACCCCAAATCTGCTACAGATGACCTGGAAGTTCGTAGTTTCTCACGGCCAACCACACCTTCTGGTGAGAAGACCATGGCTGGGTACCTGAGTGAAGGCCATCTGGAGTACAGTAACCCAAACCTTGAGCGTAGTAAACTCATGAGAAAGAGTTTCCATGGGAGTGTTGGTAAGGGTTTGTCACCTGCCAAGAACACAGCTGCTACTAAAGTGCCTCCACCCATCCCTCAACGCATCACTTCCCAACTTTCTCACAAGAATGAAAAGAACAGCAGAAAGGAGGACAAGAAGCGTGAAAAACGACCACCTTACCCTCTACCACCGAGTGATCGTCAGGTTGAAGATCCTCCAGCACTCCCTCCTCGTTGCTATACACCAGAGATCGTCAACAACAATAACAACATGCTTAAAAGTGAACCACAATCCTTGTCGTACCTTCACACTCAGATGCCGCAGTATGACATGTACCAGACTAATTCCCTTCCCTACAGTGGACCTCTGTATACAGATCAACAACAGCAGGTGCCGCAACAGCCACCTGGCACACCCACACAGATCACCATCTGTGCTGATGTCCATCAGGAAGCTACCCCAAGGGAGCCTCAACAACAGTCATATCAGATGCATCAGCAACAACAACAGCCTCATGAACAAGAGGAGCATCTGCGTCACCAACAAGAACAGGCTCACCATGTACATCAAGATCACCAGATGCACCAACAGCCACAGCTAAACCATCAACAACTATATGAACAACAAAATCACCAGATGACTAATCACCAGTCTAAGGCTCAAATTAATACTACTCCTTCCTGGCCCAGTATTGCTCACTCACGACAGAGTAGTGAGGACTTTCCTCCTCCCCCTCCTCCACTGGAGGAGGCCGTGGAGGATCTTAAGATCAGGGGACTTCTGCCCCCACCCCCACCGGTGTCCAGGGCTAACCCCGAGGCCCTTAATGCCCCAGAACCCTCAAGTCTACTGGCGCAGTTGCAACAAAAGCGACAGCAGATAATTGAGAATAAAGAAACTGTGGGCGCAACCAATGATGATCGGGTTAAGACGTCAAAGAGCAGCAGTGATTGGCTACAAGAACTGCAGGCTAAGCAAGCAGCTATGCGGAAGAAGATGCAGGACCAGAATGGACCCGGTTCAGGGGCTAAAAATGATGTGAAGGATAATGACTGTAGTGTTAACCGAGAGAGTGGCACAACTTCTGTGCGAAATTTGGCCTCAAAGTTTGAAAATGTGAGCATGATCTCAAGTAAAACTGAGGTGGGAACTGATGAGGTAGACAGCAGCACTGCTCCACCTCCAGCTGTAACTCAGCAACCAGCCCGCGAGGAGATCAGCGAGAGACAACGAACAGTGAGTAAGGAGTTGTTCACAAGGGAATATACTCAGTGTAACTCCCTCCAACTCCCCTCCCACAGTGGACACGAGAGTAGACTTAGCTGCTCATACCGGACACGAAATGAACATAGTGAAAGTGCTAATGGTAGTTGTAAGGATAGTGTAAGTGACGGTGCCAAAGAAGATTCTGAATTGAACACTAGTACAGATACAAACTCCAGTGATGGTGCAAAAAAGAAAAAGTCTAAGAAAAGTGTCACGTTCTGTGATCAAGTGGTTCTAGTAGCAACAGCAGAAGATGAGGAGGAGGATGCATACATCCCTAATCCAATTTTAGAAAGAGTACTAAAATCAGCCTTGACTTCTTCATCATCCATGTCGGACACAGACACCTCATCTTGTGGGGAACCTGTCAGTCCCAGGACGAACTGTGCGCCATCACAAACAAAAGCAAATGTGCCCACACCACAGGTAAGCCCACATTACCCATCTGTAGGAAACTCACAGGCTCAGCCTCAACAACACTCTTACATTCAGTCACACCCTTCAACCCAAACTCACAGTGGCCAAGGCTACCATACCCAACCACCTCACAACCCACCACACCATCCCCAATCTCATCCCCATCCACCACAGTCTTATTCAACCCAGTCCACTAGCCAACAGCCTCATCCATCCCAAGGCTATCCTAGCCAGCCCCTGCCTACACAGCATCACCCTGTAACGGCTCCTTCACAAGCCCATCATGGCCACACTCACCCAACACACACCCATGGGCAGCAGTATCAGCAGTCCTCACAGAACAACAGTGCTCAGGTGAGATTACCACCCCCTTACCAACCTCCTCCCAGTGTGTCTCATCACCAGGGTACCGCCAAGACAGTAGGTACTCACGGCCCCCAGACTCACCCACAATCCAGTCAGGTGTCGCACCCTCAAGCATCACATGGACAGAGTCAGAGCTGGACCCTCACTAATGGTTTGCATCCTTCTCAGATGCCCCATCTTCTCCCTGGTCAACATACAACCAGACCAGGACAGCAACAGCCACAGCATATCAGACATATACCAGCACAACAGCAGCAGACTACACATTATCAGCCTCAACAGCAGCAGCAGTCCCAGCAAAGACAAACAGTCGGGCCTTACCCAGGGATGATGACCCGCCAGAATAGTAGTCTAGGGTTGCAGCATCACACAGAGACAGAAAGAACATATCCTCCATATCAGCGTGTACCTCACCCTAGCCCTGTACAAGGACAATCCCAGGCACACACACAGTCTCATCCACAAAACCACTCACAGACTCATCCACAAACACACTCACAGTCACACCCACAGACTCAGACTCACCACCAGAAGATGCACCCTCAAATACATCAAGCTATGCACCCCTCAGGTCGCTCTGGCCACCCACCTCACAGCCACCCAGGAACTACTGGTCAACCAAACAGCTACTCTGCTTACACGTCTGCTGGGGCCTTTAGTCGTCAACAACAGTCCAACCATCCGGCACAGCAGCAGCAACAGACCACACTCAGCCACTCACAACAGTCGCAGCCACAACAGCATGGGTCTGGGTATGGAAGTGTCGGCAGGGGAGGTGTTAAGGGAGGACCAAATCACTTCTGTGGCCCCCTGGACCCTTCTGCTATTTACTCCACAGTGAACAAATCTTCCAAGAAGCCAACTGCAGCACCACCCAGCACAGGCTCGGCTCTACAGCCCTGTAATTTGTGCAGAAAAAAGTGTGTTAACCCGTCCTCCACTTACTGTAATGACTGTGACTTCTACATGTCCAGGTTCAAGCCTAAAGTATAATACTCAATCATTTCGTCGTAAACACGTATGTCGTAACAATCCCACATGTAATAATTCTCAAATACGTCATAAATCTCATTTACTCCTATTATTCTCAAAAGCAAAAGACATGACAATAGTTGTAAAGGCTAATGAGCATCGCGTATCAGTGATGACCGGCATTAGAGGGACGTGGTGTAGGAGCGAGTCACCTGGTCATGGATAAGGACCTGTGATGATCAAGTGACTCGCCACCACCCCCTCACCCGTGTGGTACCAGTGTTGTGATTCTTACCATTAATTTATATTAAATGTTTAATATTCTAATGAAATATCGAACTGTACCTGCTAGACATGATTAGAGACATTGGTACCACTCCCACATGCTGACTACGTGATGTACTACAAGTACCTGTACTGTCACGATTCGATTCTCTGTACTAGTGTTACATTATTGTGCAGCACCAGGCTTCCTGTGTTGACTAGTGCTCCACTATATGGAGTAGCACCAAGCTTCCTGTGTTGACTAGTGTTCTACTATATGGTGTAGCACAAGGCTTCCTGTGTTGACTGGTGCTCCACTATATGGTGTAGCACCAGGCCTCCTGAGTTGGTTAGTCCTCCACTTTTTGATGGAGCACTGCCTGTGTTCTCAAGATGGGTGCTCCACTTTCGTGAAGTTAAGAATCTTCTTTCATTGTGATAATATGTTATGGATCTCAATATTGGCTTGTTTTTAAGCTTTATTGCTGTTATTATATTATATTTGTATTTATTGTACAGTCAAAAGCTTTTTTTCTGCACACTTGTTCGTGCGATTGTGAATCTGACCATGTTATGTGCCAAACTGTGTAAATATCTTGTATAAAGAAATTATTACTCTATACAATGTACTGTACATATCGGCAGCTTTTGTATGTTTTGTATCAAACGGAGCTCTATGACGCTACTCCTTGTTTACTTCCCCTTCTTGTGACTACAGTTGTGCCAAACATTTGCTTTTTTAACCCATGTCTAGGAATATCTATTAAGGAAGTAGCACTCGCATATGATCCCTCTATTTTCGAGTTGTCAAAAGCAGAGCCGTAGATAGAATGAGTTTGGCCAACCGGCCGCCATGTTGTTACTCAGTGAGTGGGTGGTAAGTTCTCTCGGGCTGTTTATAAACACGTTAAGGCAAATGAAAACATGTATGACAATTTTACTGAGTAAACATGTTACTCAGCTGAGTAACAACATGGCACCTGCATGTCACCAAGTTGAGTGCTCTCTCTCTCTCTCTATCCATGGCTCTGGTCAAAAGTTTCTTCAAGTGCCACCTATAGGGTGAGTAGCTAATTACAGAAATCATTTTGGGTAGAATAAAGTATTCCACTGGTCACAGAAAATGGTACTAGATTATTTAAACTGGGATAGTGCTCTTTCTTTCTTTTTTTTTCTTCCCTTAGAATTACAAATTAATTAATAAATAAATGGCTGAAGAAAAGTATTCATTAAGCATATCATTAGTGCTATCAACAACATACAAATCATAGACAAATTTATTGCTAGACATTCCTACCGTAGAGTAATTATTTCCGACAACGCCACTAACTTTAAAGCAGTTGCCGAAATCCTAATTAATTTAGCTCAAGCCACAGAAGTAAGAAGAAAACTCGAAAATTTCAAAATCACTTGGAAGTTCATCCCAGCAAGGGCACCATGGCATGGTGGATTTTTTGAGAGAATGGTAGGAATTATCAAAGGTTGCCTTAAAAAAAAATCATTGTTTAGAAAACAAGTATCTATCCCAGAATTACTAACCTTACTCGCTGAAATTGAAAGCAATGTCAATCATAGGCTTTTAACTTAGCATGCTGGCAGAATAAACCATCCAGAACCCTTACTCCTTCACAGTTGCTCCACGGTAAGATACTGAACTGAATACCTATCCAACAAATCCTCACTATGACGAATACCTACCAGAACCCCAGGTTCATCAACAACTAAATGAATGTCAACTGTTCTTAGATAAAATACTAGTTTTTTGGCAAAATATATAGCATTCTGAGTATTTAACTTCTTTAAGGGAAAGGTATCTAAAACGAGGAGATAAAATTAAGACCTTCAAGCAGAACATTAGATTAGGTGATGTGTGCTAAGTTCATGATACCAGTAGTAGGGATCAATGACCACGGGGAAGAATCTTAGAGACTTACCCTGATGAAAGTGGCCAAGTTAGGGTTGTAAAATTCAAACCTAGAATGAGGAACATAATTTGTTCAATTAAGCATTTCGTCCACTCGAAGAATCCATGGAAAGAAATGATGAAGCCCAGGACGAACTCAGTAATGATAACGTACAGTACCAACGAGCACAACTGTAAATGTAGATATATGAAATGACATGAGAAAGGCCACCAAACACTGCAAGGCTTGGCTCCAGAGAGTATTGTGTTATGAGGAGTCGGATTCCTACAATTGACCATCTGTCTTTGTCATGAATGTATGTAAATACAGTAATTCTCTATGCTAAGTATTAAAATATTAAGTAATACAGTATATAATATTACGAACCTAGTATAAAACTGGTGGGAAGTGGAAATTTTCATCTTCTAAACTACACTTTGTATGAATACTAAATTAGAGAAGAACTCGCTACATATTTAAAAAAGCTTACTGAATAAAAAGTATTATAATTTATAGTTTATAAGATAATTAAAATTAAACATAGAGAGTTCCTGAGATTTCACGCATCAGGATACAGTATATGCCTGCAAGACGCCACACAGACCAGCAACAGCACCGTTCATAGGAGACAAACACATTCCAACCTCTGGCGAGAAAATCTTCAATCCACTAGATTTTTATAGCATCTTCTGACAATTAATACATCAACACTGTTTATTTAATATCCCAAGACTCACAATCATCATTATGTAATCTTCTACAGATACCTATGTAAACATTCCACAAATCATTATTCTTGAGATATTTGTCTTAATATTTTAATTTGTGTTTCCTTCTGTAGAATGTAAACAAATACAAGTACAGAGCTGTCACACTGCACAAAAGCTGATGAGCTTCTGTAAATGCATTACTGAAGGGGACTGTACATCATGGAGATTTCTTTGGATGCATAGGTATCTGTAGAATATTACATTATGATGGTTTAATACAGTGTATTTAGCAAATGCTGCAGCTGCTGAGAATAGAAGGGGGTAGGATTTACTACCAAGTATACTGCCCAATTTTGGGGCCACTAATTCTTAGGGGATAACTTAACTCCACTCTTAATTGATGTGCGTAGTACAAAAGAACAGAGACGTTACCGAGAACCAATTCCGATTTGAATCTCATGTACACTAATAATAACCAGTTCCTTGATAAGAGAGAGGAGCTTGAAAACTACTGAAGGTACACCAACCCGATATAGTAGGAGTTGTAGAACTGTTGTACAAGAACAGGAGAATCGACTCAGAGGCATGCGAGTTTAGTACTGTATTGATGAATATGACTTATTTACAAAACCTTTCTCAAGAAACTTGCAAGAGGGCTGTGGTTATCTATGCCAGGCAAGACCTTAGAGCCAACCAGGTGAGGGTACAGGGAGAGGATGTTTTTGAAAAATCCAAGTTTGTAAAGTATTTGAGAGCATTATCGGAGATGCAGCGATGGAACACCTACTACGAAACAACCTTGTAAATGATTGCCAGCCCGGTTTTACGCTGGGGCGCTCCTGCTTAACACAACTGCTCAAGGTATTGGATATTTGGACCCATATTCTGGAACGGGGTGGTAATATACACAATATATACCTAGATTTTGCCAAGGCTTTCGACAGTGTACCCCCATGAAAGGCTGTAAATCAGACTGGAAGGGTACGGAATTCAAGGAAATGTCCTAGCATGGATAGAAGACTTTCTACATGACCGCAAGCAGTGTGTGGTGGTTAATGGCACGAAAACATCATCTGTACCTGTCACAAGCGGGGTACCACAGGACAGTGTATTGGGCCCTGTTTGTTTGTTTGTTTCATAAATGACATGCCTTAAGCTGTACACTTCTCCATCCAAATGTTTGCGGATGATGCCAAATTATTTCAGGATATCAAGAACGGACTGTGAAGAGCTGCAGAAGGATCTCTGTGAGCTCCAAGAATGGTCGAAGAAATGGCTGCTGAGATTCAATGTCAATGAGTGTAAGAGGCTGCACCTGGGTCGCACCAACAGTAAGGAGGCATATCATGTTTCAACAGGATGAAGAAACTGCACTATTTGAGACTGAATGTGAGAAGAACCTAGGTGAGTATGTTGACAATGAGCTGAAGTTCTCAGGCCATTGTGAGAAGAAGGTAAATCAGACAAATAAATTATTAGGTCTTATAAGAAGGTCGTTCAGATATTCAGATGGTCCATCCGTTGTAACGATCTTAGTGCTTCCCCATCTGGAGTACTGTCCCCCCGTCTGGTCCCCAAGATATACTAGGGACTGCCAGTTGGTTGAAAATGTTCAAAGGAGGGCCGCCAGACTGGTGCCTGCACCTCGGCACCTCAGCTACCCTGAGAGATTGGAGAGCCTGAACTTGCCTACAGACGGGCAGGGGGCGATCTAATTGAGGTTTATAAGCATCTCAGGAGGCACTACTCAGTCGAGTGTCATTACCGGGAGCTGGCGGACGCTCGCCCCACAAGGGGTCACAGCACAAGGTTGAAGAAGCCGCAGGTCCAGAAAACTGTGAGGGCAAACTTTTTCGGAGTAAGAGTTGTGAACTCTTGGAACAATCTGCCAGGGAATGTTGTGACGGCACTGGGTGTGAGCTCTTTCAAGACCAGACTTGACCAACACTGGAGCAGGTTCAAGTACATTCAGGAACCAGTACTTGCCAACAGTGCGCAACAGAGCTGTGACTGATCGCCGAAGCGGCTAACGAGCCGATCAGTCGTGAAGAGGATAAAAGTAAGTAAAAAGTATCACAGTTAGAAATCCCCTGAATCTGTCTTACTGTATGGATCACACAAGTAATTTGCAGTACAGTTGTACCCCACTTAACGCGGTCAATTGAACCCAGAGGGTCCCGCGTTAAGTGAAATCCGCGTTAAGTGAACAACAGAACATATGGGATTAATTCCAATAGAAACCAGCCCGACCCCCAAACTCCACTTTTTGACGACACATAACTATGTTGTAGTAAAAATTCTATCTTAACTTTATGATGGTATGAAAAAACAAGTAATATAGAAGAGGTTAGGTTAGGAAAGATAAAGGTTAACATAGGAAAAATGAAGGTTACCTTAGAGAAACTAAAAGTTAGGTGGAACACTTACGGTAGTAGAAGAGATGGGTCGGCATACGGGGATGGAGGCTGGTTCCGAGGCAGAGGGCAGATTACTGGCCCTCAGGTGAATCACCATTACTAGGTGAATCAACATCACTGTCACTTACAGTTGTCAGGGCTTCCCTGACAAATCCCTCAAAGTCAACTTCACTTTCACTATCACTGGCTTGGGCTGGCTGTGGTGGGTTGCGGGCGAAGAACTCGGTTATGCTTTGCTGACGGCTGGCTTTGATGTTGTCATGATACACCGTGATGTACGGCTCCATAGCCTGCACCAGTCGGGTATGGAAGACTTCATAGCGTTCATCGTCATTGTCGCGGGAAAGGACGGACTTAATTTTTTCTGCAAACTCTATGGCACACTTAATATCACTATGACTTAAACTAGGTTCTTCGGAGAATGACGCACCTTCTTCCTCCTCTTCACTGGCGTGTTCTTCTTCCAACATCTCGTCGGCAGTCACTTCAGGATCTTTGATCACCTCCAGGATGTCTTCGTTGGTGGTCTCGGAGAAGCCTTCAGCTGTAATATTGAGCGCAGCTTCTCTGGCAAGGTCCACTGCTACTGCAACAGTCTGAACCTCACCAGTCACAGGTTCACTCCTCCTCTCACCTGGTATGCCATGCAACACA